TATATTATTAAAATATTCAATACATTTAATAAAATATTATTTTTCTCTCTTAAACATTTATTATAAATACCTTTTATTGATGGAAATTGGAAAGTATTAAACTAATAATTTCTCTCTCTGTTTACAAATTTCTTTACATTTTTAAAGCATCTCCAACAGTTTCTTCAAAATGTGAAAAATGAAAAAAAAATGGGGATTTGGAACCTATATTTTTCTTCAAGAGATTCTCCAAACTATCTCCAAAATGGAGAAAGTGAAAGAGGTTTTCTCCAACAAATTCCCCAAAATATCTCCAAAAYGGAGTGAGACGGGGTTTTCTCTAAATATGGAGATCACCCCAAAAATAATTACCAGGTGGGAGCATCAATAAGAAACTTTGAAAATAAATATTTAAAGAGCGAAATAATATTTTAATAGATGAATGAAATATCTTAATATTATAATCAATGTTTGATTCTCTAAATTAGAGAATATTTTGAAGATGAATGTAATTTTTTTTTAGAGATTTCGACTTCTGTTTCTTCATTTTTGGAGAAATTTTGGGGAATCTATTAAAGATGTTCTTACAATCTCTCTCATCTTTTCTCTATTTTAGCATACAAGATATCATAGTTATTATACTAAAATCTCTCTTTTCTTTATTTTTAACATAGTTGTTGGACATAATCATAGAATGGATAATACATCAGAAAGTTTCTTTGAGTCTTCCGTGTATGAGATTGTTCTCAAATACAACATTTGGTGAAGATATTCAAGGGCACAATATTGGATAACACAAGATTGGATTAGACGGTACTAATTGTTTTGTCATGTGTTTGATGCGACTATAATTTTTTCGTTAAAATAATCATACAAGATGTATTATTGATCAGAAATCTGTTTAGACAAATACAACTGGTCTTCTAAATTTAAAAGTTCTTTATCACTTAAAAACATATTTAATTCTTTTACATGATGGTAAAAGCCTAGATTCCGATAGATTGGCACTAGAAGACAGAAACAATAAAAATTCCTTCTTATTTTTTCAAGACAACAAAAA